AACCCTGTGGGCTCATGGCCTCCCCTCTGCATCAGGGTTGCTGAAGACACATGGCAGCTGGGCTGTGGAAGACTCTGGGCTCAGCAGAAGCTCAGACGTCTTGCTTTCTTGGTAAATCCGTCTCACATCTGGGGGGCATGCAAGCCCCTCATGGCAGTCTCAGTTATCCAATGTGCTTCTTTGGGAATGCATGAGCACTCAGGAATCTCTGGAGAATTCTGGTGACTTTGTGAGTGGAAATGCATTGTTTACCTCCCAGACTCTTCCCTTGACCTTGTGATGTACTCTGACCATGCTGGGGCAGCACCTGTCAGGGCCCAGAGGCTTCGGGGAGATTACCCCATCTTCCCTGTGTGGCTGCAGTTTGCCACTTAAGCTCTCTCCTTTGGACACCACCAGGAGCTGGGCCTTCAGGCCTCGTTGAGACTGTGTCTTTTAACTAACACGGGCTTTAGAGCTGTCTAGTATGGCAGCCAATGGCCCCATGTGGCTACTGAGTTCCCCAAATGTGGCTAGGCCAAATTGAGATGTACTAAATATAAATTACACATCTAATTTCAAAGAAAATCCCCCAGAAAGAATGCAAAGTATTGGCGGCGCCTGTAGCTTAGTGGGTAGGGTGTCGGCCACACACACTGAGGCTGGTGGGTTCCAATCAGGCTGGGCCAGCTAAAATCAATGACAACTGCAACGAAAAAAAAAATAGCTGGGCATTGTGGGGGGCACCTGTAGTCACAGCTACGTGGGAGGCTGAGGCAAGGGAATTGTGCTTAAGCCCAAGAGTTTGAGGTTGCTGTGAGCTGTGACATAGTTGTGACTCTACTGAGGGTGACATAGTGAGACTCAGTCTCAAAAAAAAAAAGCAAAGTATCTAAAAATAACTTTTTATATGATTATACGTTGAAATAGTAATATTTTAGACATATGGGGTTAAAAAAGCATGACAATTAATGGCATCCTTTTCTATTTCCTTTAAACAATAGACTTTGCTTTATTTATTTATTTATTTATTTACACAGAGTCTCACTGTGTCGTCCTTGGTAGAGTGCTGTGGTGTCACAGCTCACAGCAACCTCAAACTCTTGGGCTTAAGCAATTCTCTTGCCTCAGCCTCCCAAGTAGCTGAGACTAAGGCACCTGCCACAATGCCCGGCTATTTTTTGTTGCAGTTGTCATTGGGCTGGGCTGGGTTCAAACCTGCCACCTTTGGTGTATGTGGCTGGTGCCGTAACCACTGTGCTATGGATGCCAAGCCTAGGCTTTGTTTTTTAGAGAAGCTTTACATTCACAGCAAAACTGAGTGGAAAGTACAGAGATTTGCCAAATACACCCATCCCAAAGATGCAGCATGCCTGCCCATAACAACATCCTCCCCCTCCAGTGGTACATTTGTTTTAATTGCTGAACCTACATTGGCAGATCCTATCACCCAAAGTCAATAGTTTACACTAGGGTCCATTCTTGGTATTCTCCATTCTATGGGTTTTGACAAATGTATAATGACATGACTCTATCATTACAATGTCACCCAGAATAGTTACACTGCCCCCCAAATCCTCCATTCTCTGCTTGTTCATTCCTCCACCCCTACCATTGCCACCCACTGATCATTTTACTGTCTCCTTGTGTTTGCCTTTTCCAGAATGTTGTATAGTCTGAGGCATAAAGTACACAGCCTTGTCAGATTGTTTTCTCCACTTCTGGACAAGTGAAGGTTTCCTCCATGTCTTTGCATGGCTTGACAGTTCATTTCTTTTAAGCGCTGAATAATATTCCATTCTCTGGATGTGCCACGGCTTATTTATAATTCACCTACTAAAGGGCATCTTGGTGGCTTCCAATTTCTGGCAGTCATGAATATAGGTATTATAAATATCCATGTCCAGGCTTTTGTGTGGACACAGCTTTCAGCTCCTTTGGGTAAATATCAAGGAGCACAGCGCTGGATCATACGGTACGAGTATGTTTAGTTTTGTGAGCCATAGCCAAACTTCAGTTGATTCCTGATTTTCCTGTTCTATGCAGGGTGGCCTCAGAGGGAAGCTGGTCTCCTGCAGAGCTCTATGGCAGCTGGCTCCTGGATGAATCTGGAAGATGATCAGCCCATGTCATAGGCGGGAACCCCCAGCTCCTGCCCGAGCCAGCATGGGGCTGCTGTTCCCCACCCTCCCACACTGAGTAGGAAAAGCAGGGAAGACCACCCATGTCCTCCTACACTGTACTACAACTGGATTTCAGGTTCTGATCCCACCAGGTGAGGGATTCTGCTTCCCTGGTCGTATAAGCCTAAGGTGTGGGCTTGCTTTTCTAGAGTCTGACCTCAGTCCAGAGAGGTTCCTGGGCACAGCCCTGGAGCGGATCAACACACTTGTTCCTGAGCTTATCTCCACAGGTTCCCCCAATGAACCTTGATCCAGCAGGCAGTGTGGGGTGCCAAGTATTAATAATTTTCCCTTGTTTGCTCAAGAAGTCTGGGGCCCTACAGCCATGTCTACAGCCTTTTGCTCCAGTTTGCTAAGGGAGGCTGCTCTTACCCCAGTGCAGAGTCCTGATGAATACAGACATTTGGGAGGGGACAGGGCTGTGGAGGGCACCAGGATGAAACTGCCTTGTTCTAATCCTTCTCTCATGGGCCAGAACCCCTCCCCATGCTGCACTGCCTAGGTCTGTGCAGCCCCAAAGCTATGGGAGCTCTATATCCAGAAGGGGTGACTGGGCATCACAGAAGCCTTATCAGGTGATGACAGCTGTCTTCTTGTTCAATGGAGTCTGCATCACCTCCTCACTGAGAAAAGTTTGAATGTCACTAACTCTCTCCAAATTTCCTATGTCACGTTGGTCAAATGAGGGGTTTGAATCAGAATATTTTCAGGACTCTGCTCTTCTGAGAGTCCGTCATTTCTTTATCTTTGTGGGAAATAGAATGATTTTTGAATCAGAAGCCTCACCAGCAAAGCCAGCATCAGGACCAATGAGTACGATACCCAGTATGTGGGGAAGTTATGTGATTTTTGTTAAATTTGTAGTCTCATTTTCATGGGGACTGTATCGATTTTTCTGGCCCTTTGTTCCTAGGCCAGAGCTTGATTCTGTGGCTCGGTTAGTTAATTGTTCCT